GATAGGAAAATCTCACAGCCAAAGTGGCCAGTAACTGGTAATGTGAGAGCAGTGCAGTTTTTTGTTTTATTTTGGCTGGCATGCCACCTCAGGTCCCGAGCACTAAATCAATGATGGTGCTGCTGTCCATTTGCTCCACTCTGTTCCAAATCACTCTGAGTCCATCTTTCGGCTGAAATCCCCGCTGAGATGCGCTGTTATGCAAGAGGTTACGTTTGGGGATTAGCACATCATTTTCAAGGGTAGACATCAAGAATCCAATGGCGTTTATAGGTCACAAATCCCATGCAGTTGTTACGTGTTATACATGCAACAAAAGGATGATACGCATGTATGTGCTATTCTCTGTGTCTTTTGTTGTGTCTAGCTTAGAGTCATTGACATTAGGGCTGCACCCAGTGGTGGAATGTAACTCAAGTACTTTATTTAAGTATTTCCATTTCATGCAACCTTTTTACTTCTACTCCACGACATCTCAAAGGCAAATATTTAACTTTTTACTTCACTACAATTATTGACAGATTTAGATACTAGTTACTTTACAAATCAAGATTTGACATACAAAACTTTTAAAACATGATGCACTGTAAAACAATTACACTATCCAACAGTATATAAAAATTAAGCTTAAAAGATCAATTAATCAATTATCAGTTGATTTGTTCATCATCAAAAAATTAACCTTTAACTGTTTTAAGTTATCTGTGATGCAAAAATGCCTGAAACATTTCATGGTTTAATTTTCTTTATCATTTAATCTGCCAATTATTTTTTCCAATGAATCATTCTATTATCTATTATCTATTAATTGCCAACAAACGGATAAATGGCCATCACAGCTTGATGATCTTCAAATGTTTTATTCAACCAAACATAAAAAACCAAAGTTATTCAGTTTACAACGATATGTGACAAAGGAAGGCAGCTAATCCTCTCATTATGCATCTATTTTTGCTTGAAATTCGATTGAGACAATTTTTACAGGGTCAACATTGCAGATTATTTGTCTTTCAATTGATTATTAACTGATCTTTTCAGCTCTACTTAACATTAATCGCACCATAAAATGATTCAAACCTGATGTAATAATAACCAAAAAAAGCTTTATTTGTAAATTTGTTTTTGCAGGGCGAATAAGAAATAAGAAAAATTCAACAAATTAAATGAATGTGTTGTGTTTCCAACTTTAGGCTTCGATTCCATGCACCACAAATGAAAATCCAGCAGGTTTTTATTTAATTTTATTTATTTATTTTAGTATCGTATTCAGTATTTTCAGCACCCTTCAGTATAACAAATATCAAATCAAACACCAACAAAACATCTTTTCATGTTGTCTATTTTTATGTTATTTCTAAGTTCAGTGTAGTTTTTCTTCACCGGCAGATGTCTGAATTTTTCCAATTATATATTCACATTATTTATCTGGTATTTTAGTGCTTAAGGTTCAATATTATCTGACATATGAGTCCTACTGCAGATCTCAGTACTGTTCATTCTTCTGCAAAGGATTGTCTGTTGTCTGATTGTTTTGGATTTTGTTTCATATTTATTTCTGTGCGATCTTTGTGTCTCATGTTCTGCAATGCATGGACATATATGTGTGTGTGTGCGCGTGTGTGTGTGAGTCTGACTGTTGCATAAGAGGATCTGCTGCTGTCCCAGAGCTTAACTAAGGATTTAAACCTCTCTTTCTCACTCTCTCTGGCACTCTCTCTCTCTCTCTTCCTGTGTCGTCTGTCTTTCTAACTCTCTCTCTCTCTCTCTCTCTCTCTCTCTCTCTCTCTCTGTTGCACTCTCTCTAATCCCTGTAGCTGCATGTATATTGTAGGGGCGGGGGTGATGTCATTATTTGTTGAATAAGTCTGTGCGTATGCAGATCTTATGTTTGCTTATCTAGTAATGTTTGAGCAGGAAAATGTCTTTCTGTTCTGTGTGCATATGAAGTTCCCAGAATAAATTAGCCTCCATTTTGATGACTCCTGCTCACACAACTCAAAATTACTTGTAATTCAAGCTGTTTGCTAATTACAGCATAATAAACAGTAGTTGTGATGAATTCATAAATTTCTATTGTATGTAATTATGCCATGTATATAGAGGATTAATGAATTATAACACAAGTAGTGTTATAATATCTATCTTATATCTCATACTGACATCATTCCTTCTTTCAGTAGCTTCACTTCCCCTCCAGTTATCCTTCAACAACTTGCCTGTGTTTTGGCAACTCTTAACATCCCCATGAGTATAACAAAAGATATCGATTCTCACCATTTTACAGTCTGTCGACGCAGAGAGGACTGGGCTCACTGGTGATCTAAAAATAAGAGGTTTGGATGAGACTCCACAAGCTTTACTTTGTCCAACATGCAATGCTGCAAATTTGCTGGCTGCAAACTCAGCACAAACAGCACAAGAACATTTTGTCAAGGAAGCTGATTTGACTGTTGGGGAAGGATTTGACTGACTATATTTTATACATTTTGTATTCTTTAAAGGTATCACGCAGCCCTAAACCTTCTTTATTGCTGCTGTGGTTAATAATAACATAATATTCACAATGATTATATCCACAAAGTTAATGTTACACCTTATTAACCTCTGTATGAAAACGATCTGTTCTCGCACACATGTTATCTGTACCCCAGTGAATGAAGCAACTCATTGCTCACATGTGGCTTCATCAGTTATATTGACTTAATCATGTTCCACTTTTAAAATTTGACACCGTTCGGTGTCTCTATTTTCATCATTTAACAGGCAAGTTTGACCACAGGGCCAATGTTTCACTGCCATACCGGTTTCTCACTATGTACCACTGCTGGATATCTGGCAGTACTAAGCAGGGATGCAACTAATGATTATTTATTTATTCATTTTTAGGGCTGCAAAAATATAGTAAATTATGATTCACAACTCTGCATCACAATTTTCATTTTCACTGAAAAAAACTATT